CCCCCCCCAGACCCTCCCCATGTCCCCCCTGGCCTGGGGAGGTGACACCTTCGGGGCTTTGGTCATCCTGGGATCATCCCCTGCCTGGGGCTGGAGATGAGGGTGTTGGGCTGCAATAACAACCCCCCCCACAGCTTCTCGCAGGGGGGTTTCTCCCAGGTCGGAGGGTGGGGGGTAAACTGGGCGGGGGGGGGTGCTGTGCAGCCCCACAGTTCTCTGGGAGTCGGAGCTGACCAAATCCTCGGGGACTCGGAAACTGTGGTATTCTGGAGCCGGCCCTGATTTGGCAGGGAGAGGGAATGAAGCTGCTGCTTGAGCTGTTCCCTTCCAATTTCAACAAAATACTCCAGAGCTGTGTGGAGGGACTTGAGTTTTTCTCTAAACCGGGGTGTTTTGGGGGGCGTTGGTCTCCCCTCATAGCAGCTCCTTGTGCTTCACCCTATTCCACAGGGATAACAGATCCGGGAGAGTGTGTGGGGCTTCCCGGAGCGCGGCTAATGAGGCCGGGAGGGGCCGTGGGAGAGATTTAATGATGCCCCCAACATCTCTCCTGACATGTTTTCCATCCTGTCGCCTTCAGGCTCGAGTGGAGAGGATGGAGCAATTCCAGAAGGAAAAAGAAGAGCTGGATAAAGGATGCAGGGAATGCAAACGGAAACTTGCCGAGTGCCAGAAGAAAATGAAGGAGTTGGAGGTGACGGATCCGGAGAGCGGGAAGGGGGAGCTGGAGAAGCTCCAGGCCGAAGCCCAGCAGCTGAAGAATGAAGAGAAAAGCTGGGAGAATAAATTGGAGGAGCTGAAGAAGAAGGAGAAGAACATGCCATGGAACGTCGACACTCTCAGCAAAGACGGCTTCAGCAAGGTGGGTTTGGGGGAGCTCCCCCTCCCTGTGTGTCCGTGCCCCCCCTGCAGAGTTGCTGGGCTGGCGGCTCACGTCCTTCTGCTCCCCAGAGCGTCTTCAACGTCAAACCAGAGGAGAAGGAGGAAACGGAGGAACAGAAAGAGAAGAAACACAAAACCTTTGTGGAGAGATATGAGAAGCAGATCAAACACTTTGGTGAGTGCCGGGGAGGGTTTTGGGGGGGCTGGTACCCCCTTCCTGGGCGGGGGGTCCCTGCGGCCATCGAGCCAGGGAACCCCCCTGTTCCCTCTCCCTGCTGCCGGGAGCAGCTGGGAAGTCGTTCGTTCTGGTGAACAGTTGACGATTTGACGTGTTTTTCACAAGATTTTTTTTTTTTATTTTTTTTTACCTACTTGCCCAGCCGAGGCAAAGCTTCGTGCGCTGCCTTCATTAATCGCGATTTGGGGGGGTTTAATTTAAACTTGGGATGAGTCATCTCTCCCCCTGCCCCCCCCTCCACCTTTTTGCTGACGAGGTTTAGAGGCTGTTCTTTTTTTAACGAGCGAAAAAACCTTCCTCTGTTAACTGGGGCTGCCCTGCTTTGAAGGGATGCTGCGGCGCTGGGACGACAGCCAGAAATATCTCTCCGATAACCCTCACCTCGTTTGCGAGGAGACGGCTAATTACTTAGTCATCTGGTGCATCGATCTGGAGGTGGAAGAGGTGAGAAAGCGGGATGAAACCCATTCCTCCTGCCAGCTTTGTGCCGGGATTGCGTCGTCCCCACCTCGCTGGCCTTTCTGCCGCGAGCTGATTTGCTTTTCCTGCCAGAAATCGGGGAATCAGGGAATTGTAGAGATGCTGAGGTTGGAAAAGACCTTTAAAATCATCGAGTGCCATCGTTACCCTGGCACTGCCAACTCCACCACTAACCGTGTCCCCAGGCGCCATGTCTACACGTCTTTTAAATCCCTCCGGGGATGGTGACTCAACCCCTTCCCTGGGCAGCCTGTTCCAGTGCTCGACAACCCTTTGGGTGAAGGAATTGTTCCCAGTATCCCATCTAAACCTCCCCAGGCGCAACTTGAGGCCGTTTCCTCTCGTCCTGTCGCTTGGGAGAAGAGCCCGACCCCCACCTCGCCACAACCTCCTTTCAGGTAGCTGTAGAGAGCGAGGAGGTCTCCCCTTGGCCTCCTTTTCTCCAGGCTAAAGCACCCCGGTTCCCTCAGCCCCTTCTCTTGTCCTCCAGACCCTTCACCAGCTTCGTTGCTCTTCTTTGGACGCGCAATCTCACGTCAGACCCTGCAGAGCCCTTAGAGCTGGGGCAGGAGATCGTGGAATCCTGGGACGGTTTGGGTGGGAAGGGACGCTTGGAGCTCAGCCCGTCCAACCCCCCCTGCCACAAGCGGGGCCGTCTTCACCGAGACCAGGGTGCTCAGAGCCCCGGCCAGCCCTGCCCCAAAGGGTCCCAGGGACGGACGGGGCATCGACCCCCTCCCTGGGCAGCCTCTGCCAGGGCCTCACCCCCCTCGGCGGGAAGAATTTCCTCCCTAGAGCCAGGCCGAATCGCCCCTCTTTTAGCCAAAAACCCTTCCCCCTTGTCCCAGCGCTGCCAGCCTGCCGAAAGAGTCTGTCCCCGTCTTTGTGGGCAGCGCCGCGAGGTGCAAGAAGGTCTCCACGGAGCTGTCTCCCCTCTGGGCTGAACACCCCCAACTCTTCCAGCCCTCGGATCAGCTCCGTGGGCTCCTCCAGACCCGCTCCCGCAAGTCTCTCTCCTTTCTCTGCTGAGCGGCCCAGAGCTGGGAGCAGAATCACGGAATAATTTAGGTTGGAAAAGACTTTTAAGATCATTGAGTTCAACCGTCAACCCAACGCTGCTGAATCCAAACGCAGGACTGTCGGGGGGGGTCTCGCTGGATTCGAGGGGCAGAATTCCCTCCCTCTCCCCCAAGCTGATAGCGTTTTGTGGGGGTTGGGATGACCCAAGGGCAGGATCCTCGTTGATTCTCATCCCGTTGAATCTCAACCCATCGATCCGGCCTGTCCAGATCCCTCCCCAGGGATCTACCCTCAAGCCGATCCACGCTCCCACCCAGCTGGACGTCATCTACAAACTTAGGGCACACTCAATCCTTTCATCCACATCGTTTGCCCATCGGCATCTTCTTTTCCCAAAAAGGGGTTGGGGATCAGCCCCCCTGACCTCCCTGATGTGGGGAATGTGGAGATGGGTGAATTTGTGGGGTCCTCATGTCCCTTTTCTTCCCCGCACCAGAAACATGCCCTGATGGAGCAGGTCGCCCACCAGACCATTGTCATGCAGTTCATCCTGGAGCTGGCCAAGAGCCTCAAGGTCGATCCCAGGGCTTGTTTCAGGCAGTTTTTCACCAAAATTAAGGTGAGAATCCCTCCCTTTAGCCCCCCCTCCCCCAAAGCAGGTAATTTACGGCTCCCGGGCCCTGCTGCATGCTGCAATGGCTTTCGGCAGCTTGAGGGTGAAGAGACACAGCCAGGTGGGACCCTGGGATGGATTGGGGGTGTAGAAACGAGGGTCCAGGAGGACGCAAACACCCCCCTGCCCCCCCCTTACCTCCCCTCTCTTTGCAGACAGCTGACCAGCAGTACATGGAGGGTTTCAACGACGAGTTGGAAGCCTTCAAAGAACGGGTGCGAGGTCGAGCCAAGGTTCGTATCGAGAAGGCGATGAAGGAATACGAGGAAGAGGAGCGACAGAAACGCCTGGGCCCCGGCGGGCTCGACCCTGTGGAGGTGTATGAATCCCTGCCGCCTGTGAGTATCGTCCTGTGCATTTTTGGGGGGGGGGGGCGGTAAACTGGCAAAATTTGGTTGCAGTTTAATGCCTGCGGGGTTTCCTCATGTGTTGTTGTGTCCTCCCCCTTCTTGCAGGAGCTGCAGAAATGCTTTGACGTAAAAGACGTCCAGATGTTGCAGGATACAATCAGCAAAATGGATCCCACTGTGAGTATTTTTTTCCTCTCCCCACCCCGGGGGCTTCCGGGGGGGTCCCTAGTCTGGCAGGGCAGGCAGAACAGGCAGCGGGTCCCCCCCCGAGCCACCTCCTCCCTCCATTTACTTTCCAGGAGGCCAAATACCACATGCAGCGCTGCATCGACTCGGGGCTCTGGGTCCCCAATGCCAAGACAGGGGAGGGAGCTGAGAAAGGAGGCGGCGAAGGCGTTTACGAAGAAATTAAGAAGGAAAACGGCGATGAGGAGAAAGGAAATGCGTGAGCTGGGGGGGGCGGGGGGGTAAAG